CTGAATGATGACTGGAGGCGGAGTTATAAGGGGGCCAGCCCAACTCTACTCTGTGTACTTCCTGGAGGCGGAGTGATGATTCTGCTGAGTGGACGATAGAGAGAAGTTCCCCAGCCTCCGGGGTCACCGCCATCACAGAGGCATGATGGGAACGCTGAGGAGGGAGGTGTGGCCTAGCCGTACACTGTGTGGGGGTGGGGGGGAGGGCTACTGGGAGACGTAGTTCTGGGGGGGACTGACCTCCCAGCGCTGCCCCCGATGATGTCACAGGAAATAAGGAGACAGAGGGGTAATTGGGGGTCACGTCTGGGCCCATAACCCGGGTCTCCCCCTCTCATGTATGTTCTGATCACACGCGTGTGCCGTGTCTGTGAGCGGGATGACAAACCAGACGAGTCGGAGAATCATTCAAATCGGGATAACTTTATTCCACATATCAAAAACAGGACACGGGAGGTATGTACAGAGGCGTGGCCACCGGAATGTCAGCTTCCTATTGGCTGCGATCACACGGAGGACAAACATCGGACCTGAAACAAAAGGAGAACATGGAGAGTGACGTCCATCCACCACACAGGGCCCAACCACGTCCCACCGGGGGCCACGTACCGGACAGAACGTAGCCAAAGACGGGGCTACGTTCCCCCTCCACCAACCCCCAATGACCAGGCTGGCGGCCATGCTGATCTGGTGGGAGGACAGAAAGTGGTCCGGTGGAGGACAGGAAGTCTGGTGAAGGGCTCTGGACAGGAAGTGGTCCGGTAGAGGACAGGAAGTCCCACTGAAGGGCTCTGGACAGGAAGTGGTCCGGTAGAGGACAGAAAGTCCGGTGAAGGGCTCTGGACAGGAAGTGGTCTGGTGGAGGACAGGAAGTCCGGTGAAGGGCTCTGGACAGGAAGTGGTCCGGTAGAGGACAGGAAGTCCCACTGAAGGGCTCTGGACAGGAAGTGGTCCGGTAGAGGACAGAAAGTCCGGTGAAGGGCTCTGGACAGGAAGTGGTCTGGTGGAGGACAGGAAGTCCGGTGAAGGGCTCTGGACAGGAAGTCCGGTGAAGGGCTCTGGACAGGAAGTGGTCTGGTGGAGGACAGGAAGTCTGGTGAAGGGCTCTGGACAGGAAGTGGTCTGGTGGAGGACAGGAAGTCTGGTGAAGGGCTCTGGTCATGGTCATCCCCGGATTCTCTTACCCGCTCACTCCTGCTTCTTGGGGTTGTTGACGGCCACGTAGTGATATAAGACCACCAGCAGGAAGAGGGAAACCCCCAACATGTTGGCGAAGATGGCGAGCTGAACGTCCGTAATCATCCTACAGGAAGACAAACAGCCAATGAGACCGCAGCCCATCACCTCCCCCGCTCCCTACAGTGCTGCCCACAGACCGGCCCTTTCCCCGTATTCGGGGCGCCATGTCCCCGGGTCACGGACCTTATTTTCTGGTGAAGTTTCGCCTCTCCCGATCCTGTGGCTCTCTTGAGTCTCTTCCGGTCTATAGAGACACGTCAACCGGGACTTCCGGAATAGAGAGACTTCCTTTATGAAGCTCCGCCCTGCGTGAGGCCATTTTACTACACCCAGCCGAGTCTCTCACTAACCGGTTGGCCTGCATATGACGTCACACGAAAGGAGACGCTCGTCCACATTCAGCCGCTGTTGATTCGGACCACGCTCTGCGCTCTGCGCAGCGTAAGGGGCGGGCGCAGACATTAGAAATCTTATTGGACATAACGATACTTATCGTCTCCTGGGGGAGGGATGGATTGTAGGGGGCGGAGTCCGGTGATTTGTTTACGGTCTCCAGGTAACGGGATGAAGAGATCACATGACTGCTCCTCCTGACCGACCGTGAGTAACACCGACTGTACCACCCCCTCCCCC